GCGCTTCTCAGTGACAGTTCGAATTGACAGCATACTTAACGTTCGCATATGACCTCCTGGGTCATAATGCGATACCCTTTCATCAACTGGGTTGGGGATATACTGGCAATATCGGTCAAATCGCGATGATCAAGTTGATTGGTCAATCCTCACATAAGGACCACGAACACAACCGTGTTGGGTTGTGGCGCCTGTCTTGCATTTCCAGCATGGGCGCTGCCCTGTGTTGTTCGCCTTTGCGTGAAGAACTCGCCTCCATCCCAACAAGAACAAAAACTCCCTTGAGCTTGACACAGTTACGATGTTGGCCACGATGGGGGGTCACGATTGGACACCTATAGGGGGCCCACTGTGGGGGGATCGGGGCAAGGATATGGGTATAGGCCTAAGAACATTGAGACAAGAATATAAGGATAGGAATCGGCATGGGAATACGGATACGGATCTATATATATATATATATATATATATATATATGTGCGCATAGCGGGAGACCGATACTGCTACTCCCCAGACCTCTCCCGGGGTGCGCTCTGACCAAGATTTCGAGGCGAATCCAGCGGTGGCGACGAGGGCCTCCCAGGAGGCCCACAAAGAGGGGAACACGGGCGGAGGCCAGCGGTATGGGGTGCCTCTTCCTCCTCTGGCTAGGGCTCCCAACTTCGCGCTTCGCGCTGCGCGAAGCGCGAATAACTTCGCGCTCTCGCGCCGCCCTCCCAAAGGGAGAATAGGAGGACGAGGAGGAGGGGGAGAAGGAACGAGGACCGCGAAGCGCGAATAACTTCGCGCCCTCGAGGGAGCCCTAGGTATCGGATACACAGATAGGGCTAGGGACGGCAAAGTGAGGGCCTCGGGAAGCCACGGGGGGCCCCAGGAAGCCGCGGGAGGCCGCGGGAAGCAACCGGAGGCCACGGGAGGCCACGGGAAGCAGCCGAAGGCCACGGGAGGCCGCCGGGGGCCAGCAGGAGGCAGGACGTGGACCACGCCGCCCGATCGGCTCCGGAGATCTGGCGGCGCACCCAGGGCTCGCTTCGAGAAGCTCTGGATGCATACGTGGATGTACATTTGAGTGCCTTGCTTGTTCGGCAAGGGCTGCGCCAGGCGTATCAAGACACATCTGTCGAAGGATGCGCTCAGGCAAACACAAACGGGGCGACCCCGTTTTCCAGGCGACGGCACGCAGCGAAGCCACGCCGCGCATCTGGTACAGGAGTCGCGCAGTGACATGCCACATGGATGCGCTACGCGGCTGGCACGAGCATCTGCGATGCGCATTCCGACGTGCCCGACAGTGCCTCTGGGCACGGAGTGGGCGTGTCCTCAGGTCCCTTGCCTAATCCCTGGAGTCTCAATCCTCAGTCCTGAGGAGTCCTCAAGGGGCCCGGACCCGAACTTCTCAAATTCAACGGGGCTTCCCGCGGTTCCCTGGGGAGCCGTCGCGGCTTCCCGCATGACTCGTTCGGGTCCAGGAGGGCCCCAAGATTGGCCCAGAGGGCCCCACGAGGCCCCTAAGACGGTCCAAGAGGACCCCGAGTCGCCGAAAAATCGTTCGGAGACGCCCAAGATGACGGCCCAACAGGAATCCAAGATGCCCCAAGACGACGCACAAATCATGGATGTTCCTCTTGTTTCTGATGGATTTTGGCGTTTCTTCCGACGCTCCAAGACTTTCCCACGCTCCAAGACGGCCCAAAAGGCCCCCAAGACCACCCCAAAACGGCCTAAGAGCGCCCCAAGACGGTCCAATAGGCTCCCAAGACGGTCCAAGAGGGCTCCAAGACGGCCACGAAAGGGGCCCAAGAGAAGGAACACCAACCGAGCACCCGAGCTTTCCGCCCGAAGAGGTCCCCAGGAGGCCCAAAGAGGCGCCCAGGAGGCCCCAAGAGGCCCCCAAGAGGAGCCCAAGAGAAAGAGGCCCCAAGAGGCCCCAAAACGACCCCCGAGAGGCCTTCAAACTGCCTCCAAGAGGCCCCCGAGAGGCGTCTCACGAGATCCGTGCGAACATCCGATAAGTGTCACACCCACGACCCAGGCACGTTGGTGGGATGGGCCGAAGGCTATTAGATACTCAAACAAACCGGATATATATATATATATACAGATACACATATACATACACATACACATACACATATACATATACATATACATATACATATACATATACATATACATATACATATACATATACATATACATATACATATACATATACATACACACATACATACATACATACATACATGCATACATGCATACATACACACAAACATACATACATACATACATACATACATACATACATACATACATACATACATACATACATACATACATACATACATACATATGCACATACATACACATACACACATGCATCTCGAAACCTTGGAGACAAGCTGTTCAGGGAAACATCTCCCCGGATCTTCTGCCCGCATTGTGTCTTACGTGCAGCTCGAGCCTACTGAGGGCCTACCGACAGGTGCCATCATCTGTCAACTGCCACATGGTGAGCGGCCCTTGCTCTGCCGCCTTCACCCTTTCTTTCCGAAACCTCGTTCCTCGGGGATGGACAGACCCCCCTTTAGTAAAAAGTGGTTTAGTGAAAACGACCTGAGGCCCAAACCTGGCGGGCGCAAGCCTGGAAAATAACGGCCACGGCGCCCTCTCGAGAACCGAAAACGGACAATTCACTAATCGACGTGTCACTGTTGGGGGTTCTGTCCACCCCCGAGTTCCGCGCACCATGACAGGCCTACAACCTCGAGACCAAGTCTGAGGTCGGGCATGTACTCCCGCAGGCGGATTTTGGAAAGAAAATGCAAAATAGTCGAACGGTACCCCAGAGCAGTCAAAACTGATCCCCAGATCGCCCCGAGGCCATGTTTTGCCTCTCTCTGACGATCCCTCCTCCAGAGCGACGCGCCCGACTTGAGCCGAGTCCTGCATGGCTCGAGCGCGCGCCCGGCAGAGGCTGGGTGGGCCAGCATGCTCGGCGAGACCTGCCATTGTTTGGAGGTCGGAAAGGGGTGTGGCATAAAGGGGTATGGTGCCAATCGTGGAAGTGGCGATGCTATCTGCGATGAACAACATCGCCAGAGTCCCCTCTACACAAAATTAGCACCACACCCCTTTATGCCATACCCCTTTCCTACCTCCAGAGCCACGCAGTCGTCCGGCGCGGCCCCCCCCCTGCGGGCCAGCGAGCCGAGGCACGGCCGTCCTCGCTCCGCCCCCCGCCGCCTGCCCCCCGCGCTCGCGCCGCCCACGCCCTGCCTGCGGCGCCGCAGGCTCGAGGGCGGCGCGCCCCGGAGGCCTCCGCCTCGGCAGTGCGCGCTCGCCGGCCCCGAGGCTCAGTCCAGCGTGCCCTCGAGCACGCCGCTGTCGGCGATGGTCACCACCTTCTGAGGCGTGCCGCTCGAGGTTCCAACGGCCTCCACCTGGGTGACCACGTCCATTCCATCGAGCACCTTCCCGAAGACCACGTGGCGGCTGTCCAGCCAAGACGTCGTCACGGTCGTGATGAAGAACTGGGAGCCGTTGGTGTTGGGGCCCGCGTTGGCCATGCTGAGCATGCCTGGCCCCGTGTGCTTGAGCTTAAAATTCTCGTCGGCAAACTTGGCCCCGTATATGCTCTCGCCGCCAGTTCCGTCGCCACGGGTGAAATCGCCCCCCTGGAGCATGAAGTTCGGGATGATGCGGTGGAACTTGCTGCCCTTGTAGTGCAACGGCGCGCCAGAAGCGCTCGTTCCCTTACCCCCCGCGCAGAGGTGGACGAAATTCGCCACCGTCTTGGGCACCACCCCCCCAAACATACCGAAAGTCACTCGCTGGGGCTCCTCGTCGCCTATCTTGATGTCGAAGAACACCTTGTTCAAACGCCCGACATGGGTACGGAGAAAATGGGTACAATGCCCAGCAACAAATGTTGTCCCAAACCGACAGCGGCCGCTGTTGGGCAGGCGGCTTTCTGTGTTCAGAGAACAGCGTCCGCGGCGGCACGGACAGCACGTCCTGTTCAGAATGAACAAAGACTGCTGTTGGGCATCGTGCCCTTTCTTTCCGTGCCCATTTGGATTGACCAAAGAAGGACCCCTAACCCTTTTAAGAGGGGACCCAAGGAGGGCCAAACACATTAGGGATAAGGGGTCTTTTCTGCAGATGTGTCAGACCAAACCGCCCAGAACTATTCCCTCATGCGAAGACGGGGACCTCAGCGAGGCCACGTCTTCATCGTGCTCTCAGGGTTAGGGATCTTTTGTGCTCGATGACATATCGATCGTCCCCACCTTGTGTGTAATCGCGGGCTCCTCGGCGGCCGCCGCCGCTGCGGCGCCGGCGAGGAGCAGGGACAGCAAGGCTGCCCGCGCCATGGGTCGGCGCAACTCGCGGGCACTGGTGGGGTGGGCGGCCGCCTGGGGCAAGGGTGCAGGGCTATGAGCCAAAGTGGTCAAGGAACGCCATCGTAAACGTTTTCTCATTCGGCGTTTCGACATTGCGCGGAGGGGGGGGGAGGGGGGGTCTGGCTCCGGACCTCTGCTTAGCGCGACTGTTTACAACAGTGCGTCATATAGGGGAGACTCCACCTGCTCGAAACAGGCGCCCCAAACGGCCAAGACCTACTCCATAGGGGGGGGGAGGGGGGTGCGAGGACCCGCGCCGGTCGTCAGAACAAGGGATAAGAAAACGTTCGCCATTCTGATGGCAACGGACTTCTGTTTGCTGTCTCGGCGCGACGATCGAACTTGATTGAGGACGTCAGGGGATGGGGTCAATCACGGGGCCCCTTTGGGGGCGTTTCGGGGCCTCCTGGGGGCCTTGTTTTCTGTGCAGGGCTGAGGATAATCACTAGCTGGAACAAGCGCGGCAACATTCCCTCACAAAGCTGGTGCTGTGGCCGCGATACATACCTGCGCATTCAGAGCTGGGTCTGCGATGGTGCGGCGTTCAGGGGCGGCTGGATGAGCCAAAGTCTTGCCAAATAGGATAAGTACAAGCTCAAACGATCAAGCCTTCAGATAATGATCGGAAAGCGGAGGGATGCGGAAGGGGAAGGATAGAAGAGGAGGAAGTGGAGTTCTGTCCGGGACTTTCATTCAGGTTGCCGCATTACCAAGCATACCCCTGGGACGTTTACGACAAAACACGTTTTCCCGACATCCCAACATTGTCACTCGAGCTTCCGGGAACACGAGCCCATTACTACTCATGATGGCACTCCCTCATCCCAGCGGGGCACAGGGACACACATAAATAGACACGAATCCCCCGATTCCCCACATGTTCCTCCCATATTGTCGGGGTTTTCGTCTTCCCCCCACTTCCCATATTCTCCTAATTTCCTGGGAAGCGACAACGAATTGTGTCTGTGTTCTTTCCCCTCCTGAATCATCATCTTCTAGTTCATCCTTCTGACAACAACAGCCTACTTTGACAGATACGCCCCCTAGAGAACGCTGCCATCGCGCTACCACAAGCATCGCTGACTGCAAAACGAAGGGCTCTTCTGAACACGGCAAACGTCGGCCGCAAACAGGTCCTCCCCAACCTAGATTCGGCGGTGGACAAACCTCCCTTTAGTAAACCTCCCTTTAGTGAAAACGGCCTGGGGCCGAAATCGACGGACCTGGACCCGCAAAAGTGACGGCCGCGACGCCCTCTCGCGAACCGAAAACGGCCCATTCCTTAATCGACGTGTCAGGGTAAGAGGTCTGTCCACCCCCCATAGATCTGAGCTCGACGCGCCCCTCCGGGCGGGAGGCAGCACGGGAACGGCGAGGAGCGGGCAGAGGCTCGTGCGGGTGACCTTCCTGGAGACGACGGAAGACGACGACGACGACGACGACGACGACGACGACGACGACGACGACGACGACGACGACGACGACGACTTGAGTCGCAGCTCAGCGGCGACAGCGACGCGCGACGCTGCAGCCAACGGGCCCGAGGAGCCGACAGCGGAGCCAAGGCAGCCCGGAGCCCGTGCCCCCTGCCTTCGTGTTGCCGAATGTGTTCCTCCACTCGCTCCACTCGCTCCAACGCTGCCAATCCTGCGCCGATGCTGCGTCGAACGCCCGTCGATTCGGGTCGAGCCGGAATCGAAGCAGAGTCGAAGTAGCATCGAACCTGGGATCCCCCAAGGTGGTCCCCCCCAAACGAACGTCTAGGAGAGAGGGGAGGAGGAGGAGGAGGAGGAGGAGGAGGAGGAGGAGGAGGAGGACGAGGAGGACGAGGACGGGGAGAAGGAGGAGGAGGAGGAAGAGGAGGAGGAGGGGGAGGAGGAGGAGGAGGAGGAAGAGGAGGAGGAGGAGGAGGAGGAGGAGGAGGAGGAGGAGGAGGGCGTCCAAAAGTGGGAGCGTTTAAAAGAGGGGGGGAAGCAAGCCATGGCCCGAAGCGCGTGCGGGGCCCAGGGGGACGACCAAGGGACGCGTTGAAACAAGAAGGGGGAGCCATGAGATCTGGGGCTAGATTTAAGTCGGGCGTGTCCCCCTACAAGGGGATTTTCGACGACAAATATACAATAATCCAAAAATATTCAAAAGATAGCCAAAAATACTCGAAAAATGGTCCCCAGACTATTTTTTAACTATTTTTGAATTTTCCTCCTGTAGAGGGACAGGCCCGACTTAAGGCTAGATCATGGCCCCCGGCCAGGGTGCCCCCCCCCAGCTTGTATTGCATCCTCAAAGGGACCTTGTCTGTCCCGTCGCGGCCCCATCCGCGTCGAATCCGTGCTGGCCTCGTCGGATCCGTGTCGAATCCTTGTCGGAACCGCGTCGAATACACGCCAAATCTGCGTCGAGGCCGCATCGAGCCCGCGTCGGGCACACGAGAAGACACCAATTTGGGTGACAGGCGAGGTCTCCGGAAGGTGCAACGTAACCCTCTGCCTTCCCTCACGGGCTCGGCCCCGAGAGGGGGAACGTAGGGAGCCCACAGAGGACGTGCGCGCCCAACCGCGCACATGAACACGCCCCCCCGATCCGCGAGACTGGCCGCGTGCTACGGACGCTCGCGCAGCGCGAACTCTCGAAGCCAACGTGGAGTCATGGAAGGGCACGTCCTTCGCTCGCTCCTGAGAACGGGGAGCCGCGCTCGAAGTTAAAGACGAAAAAACTGCATAAGCATAAACTGGCGCGCGGAGCGAGCCAGGGGCGGCGCCGGAGGCGCCGCCCAGGGGGGCCCAGCGCGGATCCAAGAAATCCACGCGGAACGCCCCCAAAAATGATGTTCATGGCGTTTTTTCTTCCTCTTCTTCGAGAGAGCGGGGAGCCGTGCTCGAAGACGCTCGCAGAGCCCCGATGCCCGGCACGAGCGCCCCACAACGCCCCCTCCCCTCCTGCCGGGCCGCGGGGCGCGACGACGGCGGGCGAGCCAGCGAGGTGCAGCGGCAACTTCGCCGGCCTGCGGGATGCGAGGGAGAGCAGCGGCGCCACAGCAAGACGGCGCCAGGACCGGGGGGGGGGAGGAGGAGGAGGAGGAGGAGGAGGAGGAGGAGGAGGAGGAGGAGGAGGAGGAGGAGGACGAGGAGGAGACCAGGACGCGGCGACGCAGCACGTCCGGCGGCTCTAGAGGACGTGCTGGGTGCCGCGTCTGTTCCAGAGGGCGCTGCGTTCCGAGGCTGCTCCTCCTCCTGCTTCTCTTCCTTCCCGCCACGCCTCCCCTCCCCTCCCCTCCGCTCTTCCTCCCCTCCCCCTCCCCCCCCCTCCCCCATCCTGGCTGCCCCCTCCCCTCCCCTCCTCCTCCTGCTCCTCTTCCTCCCCTCCTGCTCCTCTTCCTCCCCTCCTGCTCCCCTCTCCCCTCCCCCCGCCCCTCCCCTCTGCTCCTCCTCCTTACTTTTGGAAGTAATACCGCTGGCCTCAAGGGCGCCGCGAGACAAGACGGAACCATATCCAGCCCTGGCCACTCTCCCGCGGCCACGCGCGCACGCTATACGGGCACCACCTGAGTTGGATCATCAGTATGCGGCGCCCATGAGTTTGATCCTTTGCGCAAGTTGCGTCAGCCCCCCATCCGATACAGCCGAAACGTGGCCGCCAGGTGGGCCAAGAACACGAGCCCCTTCGAAAGAGGATCAGGTACAGGACCCCTGGGGGCCCATCCGGAAGGAAAGAACTTCTGTCGGCGGTGGACAAAACTCCCTCTAGGAAACCTCCCCTTCGTGAAAACGGCCTAAGACCGACCCGCAACAAGGACAGCCGCGAAACCCCTCTCGCGAACCGAAACCGGCCGACTCCTTGAGCGATGCGTCAGGGCAGGAGGTCTGTCCACCTCCGATGCTGCGGCGCGCCGGAGGGCCCAGGGGGTCCTGCGTCCGCAGGGGCCACGGGGCCGGGCGGACGGACGGGTGACGACGAGCAGGAGGGGGAGGAGGAGGAGGAGGAGGAGGAGGAGGAGGAGGAGGAGGAGGAGGAGGAGGAGGAGGAGGAGAGCCTTCGGAGGGCGGGTGAGCTCTCAGTGCGCGGATGCCCGCGCGTGGGGTTCCACCCCCCTCCGGCGCAGCCGGAAGAAGCGCGCAGGCGCCCCGACTGCAGCTGGCATGCGCCGACACTCCAAAACTAGGCATTTGTGCCACACTTGTGCGAGCACTTGCACCGAAGTCCCACCAGCCCCCCGGGCGTGGGTGGTCGAGGGAGGCTCCTCTTCCAACCCCCTTCTTCTGACTACCTACCAGACCACCCCAACCCAACCCGAAGACCCGAATTTCGGGTTGGGGGGGGTTCCCCGACCCGAAGACTCGAATTTCGGTCCCACATGTGTTTTTTCGATGTTCCCCGACCCCCCCCCACTGGAAATCGAGGGTAAATCTGAGTCTTCGGGTTGGGTTGGGGTGCTTTGGTGGGTTGTGATCTTCCCCTTCGGGGAAGGGTTTACCCCGAGTGCATCAAAATTAAGGGCTTCAAAGCTTGAACATTTGAAAGTTTGAAAACGTAAAGCTTGAAAAATTCATAAAAGGAGAGTTTACCCCCTCCCGCTGGACCTGGACGGGGGTGGTCGCGGGCGGTTGGAGCGTCCAAGATGGCCCAAGACGTCTCCACACCTCGGTGCCCAAGATGACCTCCAAGATGGCTCAAGATAGCGCAAGATGCCTCAAGATGGCTTTCAAGATGCTCCAAGAAGTCCAAAGAGCGCTGCACGACGGCTCCCAGAGGCCTCCGAGACCTCCACGAGTTCCCCGGGAGGCCAAAATCCTTCAAACGCCTAATGACATCAATATTTTGTTTTTCTGTCTCGCCTTTTCGCTTCCGTTGGCCATCCGAGGCCTCAAGATGGCTCCAAGATGGCCCAAGAGGGCCCCGGGAGAGGCCCAAGAGAGCCCCAATACGGCCCCAAGAGCGTCCGAAGAGCGTTCCAAGAGGGTTCCAGGAAGCGAGGTTTTGGGCTCCCGACGGGGGAGGCTAATTGGAGCTCCCCTCTTTTTGATCGATGTCCTCCACAATGGCCCCAAGAGTGCCCCTAAAGCTCCCAAGAGCGCCCCAAGAGGGCCCCAAGAGGCGTCCAGACAGCCCCAAGAGGCGCCCAAGAGGCCTCCAAGAGGCTCCCAAGAGGTCCCCAAGAGACTCCGAGAGGCATCGAAGAGGCCTCTGACCCTTCTGCTCGTCCTCCCAGCCTCCTCGTCCGCCTCTTCTTCTTCTTTCTCCTCCTCCTCCTCCTCCTCCTCCTCCTCCTCCTCCTCCTCCTCCTCCCCCTCCCTCCTCCCCTTCCCCCACCTCCTCCTGCTCCGATCCCTTCTCTATCCTCAACTTTTGGGGTATGACGGCATCCCCTGTCATTTATTACTCTGTGCTCCCACACTCCCCTGATCAAAACAACTACTCTGGGTATCGTTGCTGGAAAGCTAACCGAAAATTCCGATAGTTGGTGCTCTTCGCTAGAGTGGCTGTTTTAGGATGGGCTGGTGGAGTTTTTTTTTTACAGCCGCAGGCGGAAGCGCCAGCGGCGGGAGGTCGCGGGCGGGCTACGGCCGCGACTAAATTGCCGAGCGCGCGCGGGGCCGCGGATCAGGCGGCGGGGGGGGCAGCGCCCAGGGCGGCAGAGCCAGCTGGTGGAGATTCGCGAAGCTTCAACAATTGCTTGTTCCATTGTGGTGCGACTTGATAACCTGCCTGCAGCGGATTGAATCCACTCACGTTTCACTTTAGAACCAGGCGCACTCTAATATTGCATGCGCGCTAATACACGCTAGTACCTGTTACACTCAAGTGCTGGTTATCCGCCACCGTGCCGCTGGGCACGGAGTGGGCGTGCACGCAAGTTATCAGCCTAATCCTGAGGGGTCTTGACGGGGCCCAGACCCCAAATTCTTCAATCTCTTACGGGTCTCCCGTGGTTCCGCGAAACTCCAGCGAATTTCGCGTCCTTTTTACGCGCCCAAGAGGGCCCCAAGACGAACCAAAGGGGCCCCGAGAGGCCCCCAGGGCGTTGCAACAGGGCCCCGAAGACGCCCCAAGATGGCACCAAGACGCCCAAGATGATCCAAGAGGCCGCCGAGATGTCCCAAGAGAGCCTCAGGAGCCTTCCCGAGGGCCCCGAGATGCGAAAATCAATTATTTTCCGCATGTTTCTGTTCATGATTCTGGGGCCTGCGACTTTTCGAGCTCGAATTGGCGAGCTCCCGACGCTCCAAGATGGCCCAGGAGGCCCCCAGGACCGCCCGAAGACGACCCAAGAGGGCCCCCCAGGAGGGCCCCCGCACGGCCCAAGAGGGCCCCAAAACGGCCCCAGAGGCGCCCAAGACGGCCCAAGAGGGCCCAAAAACAACCCCAACAAGGGCCCGCGAGGGAGAACACAAACCGAAAATCGAGCCTTCCGCCCCATGAGGCCCCCAGCAGGCCCCAAGGAGGCCCAAAGAGGCCCCCAAGAGGCTCCAAGAGATCCCCAAGAGGCCCCGAAGACGCCCAAGAGCGGCCCCCAAGAAGCCCCCGAGAGGCCTCCCACGACATCCCAACGAACATCCTAGAGGCCTGCGACCCACAACCCAGGCAACGGTGGTGGGATGGGCCGAAGGCCAAGAGTTCAGGGGTCCCAATGGAAAGGCACGCCGCGGAAACAGGAAGGAAATCCACGCAAATTTGAACGGGTCCCCGCGGCACGGCCCCCCCTCCGCGAAAAGAAGCAAGCAATCCGGCAGGGGGGTTGATGGGTCCAGGCGTGAGTCGGGGAGGTGATCAAATTCGCCAACCCTACTCATGAGGCTTCAGCGCGCATCGTTCCTCACGCAAGTGCATTCTGCTCACCCTTTCGCGCGCGAGCATGCTAAGCCCGTGAGAAATCTCCGTGCCTTGCGCAATACAGTTCGGCATCCGTCGAAAACATTGGTTGGGAAAAGTACGACCACAGAGAGATTTCATGAGATCGTGCCGCTCGGTGTGCTTCCCGTCCTTGGAATGCTACAGGCAGCGTGCATTGCATAAGGTCACGCATCGCAAGGCCAGCAATTGACCCCGCTTGCCATACAGTGCGGGCGCGGCCGCAAGAAACCCTCGCAAGAAACCAAACCCTGAAAACCCGCGCGCGAGGTGCACCTGAGGGGAAACCCGGAGCACCCTGAACGCAGCAGCTTCTCCAACAGCTGCGGAAGTCGCCGCGCAGCGCGCGGAGCGAAGAAACCCAGGCTGCCCCGACGAAAAGCATAGGCTTTCTTGATGCGCGCCCCATCTCATCTGTACACATTGGAGGCGCTGCTGACATGAAGTCCCACTTGAGCAGGGACCAACCGTCCCGGCATTCCTATAGTCCTACCACGAAGTTTTTCTTAGACCCGCAAAATGTTCTAAGACCAAAAACAATGTCCTTAGAACATAAACCCGATGTGATAAAACAAGACAGGCTCCGCCAGAAATGCTCTGAGAACGTTTCGTGGAAACCACCAAAGGCTCTTTGAACATTGCTTGGTAGGGCTATAGGCGAGCCGGGACGCTTCGCCACTGCTTGACACTGGAGGCGCTGCTGACATGAGGTCCCACGACGATAAGATCGCACGCGCTGCTGTCCGCCACTTGGATGTCCCGCCCGACCCGGCCCGGCCGGGCTCGCCCGCCGGGGCCCGCCTGCCCGAGCTCGCCCGCCCAGCCCGCCTGTCGGGGTGTCTGCCCGCCCGAGCCGTGGCCCCACGAGACGGGGCTCCTCGCATTGGCTTCGGTGCGTCTGTGCATCTCTAGTGGGTCGTCTTTTTTCCTCGCGTCGTTTTCGGTTTCCTCGCGTCGTTTTTCGGTGCGCCTCTAGAGGCCTCGGTCGGCGACATGACGCCACCCCCCCGCGGTAGCGACCAGCGATGATCGCCACCGACGGCGCAGCCACTCGGAGCCACTCGGTGCGTCTGTGCAGAGCTGCTGACAAGTTCGCTGCTCTCCGCCACGGCCCACGGGGAGGCCTGCGGACATGCTGCGATGCTATTCGCGCCCTCGCGCCGCCTCCTGGGAGAAGGGCAGCTGATCTGGCGCAGACCGCGACGCGCGAAGCGCAGTTACCTTCGCGCCTCCGCGGGTGATCTAGCTCCCTCTTCCCCTCATACACCTCCTCCCCTCCCATCCTCCACGCATCCTGACGCACGATTGTCCCCTCACGTCTCTGCTCCCCTCATGGTTCTCCATCCTCCGCTCATTCGAATTCCCTCATCCATCCCCCGCCCTCCATCCACAGAAAGCCAGCAGATATTGAACAACCACACGCACCCAGATCGAGGTTAAACTCGCGACAAGCAGCGCGTGGGTGCGGTGCCCATCGGAGAAGGATTTTGCAAGTTCTGCTACCAGCTAAATTCAGCCAAACACACCGATCACCTTACTTGATTGTGTCATCTCCCTCCTCAAGACATCCCCCTAACAGAGGTCCTCCCGCTACCCCTCCTCCTTCTCCTCCTCCTCCTCCTCTTCCTCCTCCCCCATCGTCCTCATCGCTCTCCTCCATTGTTCACCTGCTGCCCACCCCACATCACGCCAGTGCCACTAAGGGCAACAAACTATAATCCCACTGGTGGTTCTCCGGTCGGGCAAGGACCCACCAACATCCCCGCCACGCACCTCCGCGTGAACCATCGCCCAACAGATCACCCGAAGCCCAGCTGATGAGCACAGGAGGACACACCGCCACCATGCTGCGGCGGTCGGTGTCTGTGTGTGCGTCGGATCTTTTGGCGCACCTCGCGCCGCAGAGAGCGAAGCTAAATCACAGACCAGCAGATCCCAAGACGCATCCAAGAGGCCTCTGGCCCACAGCCCGCACGATGGCGGCTTGGCCCGAGGTGCTCCAGATCTGACGCCCCCTTTGCGTGCAGAGGTGTGCCTAGCGTGCCAAGTTCTACAATTATTTTTCCCAACCATCCTGTGGTGTTGGGTCCTCGTTTTGAAGAGACAGCGCCCCGCGTCCCACCTCCTTCCTTCCTCCTCCTCCCCCTCCTCCCTCCTCCCCCTCCTTGCCTCTGCTCTCGGCACACCTCTTACACGTTTCGTAGCCCCAGCCCTTCCAAAAAGTTCCCAATGGCCTTCGGCGCAACAGGCTGGCCATCCAGAAGCCACCCCCCACACCCGCAGAGCCGGGAACGCTCGCCTCCAAAGGGGTTGACCAGGACAAACCTCGATGGCCTCCACGACGCCCCCAAGACAGCCAAAAGGTGACCCAGCACTTCCAACAAGTGCCCAAGATTGCCCCTGAATGGCCCAATATAGCCTCAAGACGGCCCAAGAGGCCCCCAAAACACCCAAAGAAGGTTCCACGGGGACCTTCGGGAGGCTCAGATCAAGCATGCTCCCTGTGGGTTGCCATTGTCTTCGCGTTCTCCCATTGTTGGGTCCAAACGCCCAAGGTGGCATAAGATGGCCCAAGAGGCCCACAAGAGAGCCCAAAGACGGCCCTAAGACAACCTCAAGAGGGCACAAGAGAGTCACAAGACGGCCACGACGGCCCCAAAGAACCCCAAAATGTCCTTCAAACGGTTTAGATGTGCACCCAAGACGGTATCCGAAGGTACCAGAATGCCCAAGAGACCCTAAGACGGCCTGATGGGGGCCCCACGATTGCGCAGAGAGCCCCAACGGGCCCCCAAGAAAGCCAAACGGGACGAGAGAGCCCCAAGATGACCCTGAAAGGCCCCTCTCCAGAATCCCCCAATGGCTTCGCAAACGAATAGGGGAGCATGCAGCACACTAGCGCAATCGCGGTTTCGCTTGACATCTCACGACACAGCCGCTTCCGAGAGGCAAGTGGCGACGGTGGCAGGCGTCCCCAACAATACAGGAATGAGAATCAGACATCGAATCCGAATAGAGTACGTTGGATTCGCAAATCAGACGTGCGGAGCTGATGCACACCCCATATCGGGGGCATTCCAGAGGGGGGGCGTCCAAGAGGGATGCTCGCAAATCATGGCCCGAGGCATGTGCGCTGACAAGGGGGGACATGGGGATGTGTTGGAATACGAAGTCCGGCGGAATATCATGGCCCTGGACATGACACGCACACACGCACACACACACATCTGGTCATCACCCTTCTCTTTTTATTCACGTCCCCGACCATCCGCTCACCCCCAACCTCATTGGTTGCAAGCTGGTCTTCCAAATATCGTCACCATATCCGCCGCAACGACCACGGTTGCAGCGCAACCGCCAGCATCGCGGCACAGACGCTGTCAACGTGCTGCCACGCAGGGGTGCAAATGCTGCCAACGTACAGCAGGTTCGTGTTGTGGCGATTTCGGCGTCGGCTTCTGACCTCGTGGATCGTTCAACCTTCAACGATCAGTGGCTTCTCGATCGCCGGATCCTTCCATATTTGCAAGTTCTGGGTCAAAAGCAGCGTTCAACCTTGAACGCCCGCGCCGTGGTCGCAGCCACGTCGACGCGACGCAAAACTGCCGCAGTTGGTGCCAATGCCATGGACGCAACGTTGCCAACTGCCACATCGCGCCCTCCACCCTTCCTCGGCTCCGCTCAGCAGGGCGCCCGCCCCCCCCCCAAGGCCCGATCCTGGGGCTCCTTGGCGGAAACGAGGCACTCTTGC